ACAGCAGGGGGCGTCAGCAGAGAATGTGTAGTGAAGAGAATTGCCGCTCAATAGTCTTCTGGTTTTGTTAAACACTAGAGGGCACTCTCGAGTGGCTCCAGAATGAATGGGTTAATATGGAGCGTTTGAGCAAAATCATAGTTTGGAAATGCTTGGTCATTTTTTTTATCCCAGGGTTTCAGTCACATGATTTTTCTGTTGTGGCCACTATATTTTGGACTGAATTTCTGGCTTTAGCTGATGTTAACAGCCGAGAGATAAACAGTCATCCCCCCTAACATAACTAGCAAACAGCGTGGTATAATTTTACTCTGTTTCTGGAGATTTAAATGACGTCTGAATGGAGAAACATAAACGTTAAATATCAGACTGAATGTCGTGGGCCGGAAAACGACGTCATGTTTCGACAGACGTGATTTTGTAAGTTTGCTAGTGCAGTTAGTTCAGAGTTCAGCTCCAGTCCTGAAACCCCTGCACTGCATAACTGTGGTTTCCTGGTTAAAATACCTGATATTATCAGCTAATTAATCCCTTCTTGAGCTGAATGAGGTGAGAACAGCAGAGAGAAACACTAAACTATACAGTGCAGAGGCTCCAAGCTGTTATATGTTTGAGAGCTTTTGAATTTCAGTTATAGCCTTTATAATAGGGCCTCATATACGTTTATGACGTCAGTGAGAGTAAAGTGCTTCGCTCAGCCAATGAGCTGCTCTGCTCACCAAAAACTATAATTAACCTTAGTTTTATGCTTTAGGTGAGTTGGAGTAAGATGGAGTGGGAGACTGCAGTTCATGCAGTTCATGGGAGTTCCTCAGCTATCTTCTCTTGGGAAGGAAAAGGTCACGCAGTGGGTGATCTCAGTCTGTCTCACAAGCTGTGCTTTAACTGCTTCTCTGCTCTTTATTTCCACAAATAATGCTCAAGGCCATTATCTGCAGCCTGTCCAACAGAACTTTGAGTTTTTTGGTGCACTATCCCATCATGTTCAATACATGATCTGATAAGAGTTGTATAGATTGTAACACTGCAAATAGAGTGAAAATTTCTTAAATGTAGTCAATAAATCTAATTTTTCTCATTATACAACAGTTAGTTCCGGCCACCCAAGCTGATTGGTTGAGAAGCGTTCTAACCGTGCTGTTATTAAATGTTTTTTTCACAAACTCCGTTTCACTCCGCTGAGACGCTCTTGCTAAGCAACGACTTTGACAGCTGTAGGAGACGCTGGAGCCATTCGAACGTTTTTACTTCTTACTTTGCCACAAACAGAAAATGGACACTTTTAAGATCACATTTGACCGACAGACGATTTGGTCAGACTCTGAAGATGAGACGACACTAAAGTCCCAAACTGTCATCACCACTGAGCAGCTTTTCAGTCGGCAGCTGTGACAGAAGAACAGCTAAACAACCTGGAATCAGCCAGAAATGAACCCAACACCATTTGCCAAACTAAATGGACTGTAAGATGCTTTACAGACTGGCTGGAACAAAACAGGGAGCTGGAGAACAAACTGCCGGCTGAGCAGCGAGGGAGCGGAGTTCGTTACTCTGACATAACAACAAGCTGCTTGTTAAGGAACTATAATTTGGCAGAAGGAACTGCAAACATTAAAAAATATTAAACGCCGCGTTCACCGCCCAGTTTATTTATTACTTACTTTATTTATTTAACTTGTATAAAAGCAATAGAACACTCGAGGAGTGTGTTATCGCGAATAACATCACGGCTGTGATGATCTACGGCGACCAAATCACAGCCGTGATGTTATTTCACGATAACACTACCTCTCGTGTTCTGTTGTTTAAGCTATTGTAAGAATATTATAAGATTATTCCACCTGTGTCTGTACATTTTTTACTTGTTTTAAGTGATTTTATCTAGTGAGTCTTATTCCATTGGTAGATTAGTTTACTTGTTTTGAGAAATAATTTATATAATTTTGCTTATTTCAAGAAGTAATGTTTAAAACAATTAAATCTGTCTGTGGAACAAGACATTTTCATAAGATAAAATTGCTTAAAAGCAAGTAAAAATGTTTAGTAATAAGTTAATTTTACAATATTCATACAACAGTATCATAATGAGAAATAATAGATATATTGACTACATTTAAGATGTTTACACTCGCTAAGATATTTTTTTGCCATGTACTAATTTCTCAGCAGTTACGTCCAGTTTGGACACTTATAAACTAGTCATTTTGGCTCTTCCCCAACAGACTGCTCCACATGGGTCTCGTCAGTAGGACTGAGCATAAAGGAAAGCCAAGATGTTTCATAGATTGAGTGACCTTGACTTCGCCCCCTCTGTAAATGGCAATAGCAGCAGTAAGTTTTAGAGATGGAAACCTCTGGTTTATTCCTGTTTAAGAGCATGTTATTATGAAAGCCCATTAATCCACTTGTCTTCCTCCTTGATCCGTTCAGGGTGTCATGCTGGATGTCAGACAGTGTAATTGTCCCAAGTTGTCACAAAAGACAGTCCTCCCAGCAGACATATGGCAGAGAGACAGGTGCTGGAGAAGCCACCTTCATCTGAGGCTTATCAGAAAACACATCAGTCTGTACGGACAACTCAGCTTCGCCCTCCTCGCAGTGAAATAGCCTTTCTAGCCAGGTCAGTAAATATGGTCAGTGTTCTGCATCGCCAACTTATTGTCTCATAAAAGTTAGTTACTTAACAGATTCAAGCTAAAATAACATGAATTTTAGCTACGTATTTAAAAATGATGGTTCTTCAAGGGTTCTTTTGTTAAAAAAATGTTCTTTTTAGAACCACGAACTCTCAAAGAACCATTTGCATTATTAAAGGGTTCTTCAGATTGATGGAGAATGTGCTGTAGATGGTTCCTAGATAGAACCTTTTTGAAAAGGATTCCACATAGCACCAAGCTTGACACCACAGAAGAACCCTTTTTTGGTGTTATATAGAACCATTTACAGCACATTCTCCATCAATCTGAAGAACACTTTGTCCATGCAGAGAACTCATTAGTCATGTGAAGGGCCCTTTGAGTGTTCATGGTTCCATATGGACAATTTTTTTTTTTTACTAAAGAACCCTTGAAGAACCATCTTAGGTGTGTGTGTGTATATATATATATATGTGTATATATATATGTATATATATATATATATGTGTGTGTGTGTGTGTGTGTGTGTGTGTATATATATATATATATATATATATAATATATATATTATATATATATATATATATATATATATATATATATATATATACACATGTACACACACCAATCAAGCATTACATTATGACTACCTCCTTGTTTCTGCGCTCATTGTCCATTTTATCAGCTCCTCTTACTATATAGGTGCACTTTGTAGTTCTACAGTTACAGACTGTAGTCCATCTGTTTCTCTGCATACTTTGTTACCCTGTTCTTCAGTGGTCAGGACCCCCATGGACCCTCACAGAGCAGGGACTATTTGGGTCATTCTCAGCACTGCAGTAACACTGACGTGCTGGTACGAGTGGATCAGACACAGCAGTGCTGCTGGAGTTTTTAAAAAACCTCTGTGTCATTGCTGGACTGAGAACAGTCCACCAACCGAAAATATCCAGCCAACAGCGTCCTGTGGGCAGTGTCCTGTGACCACTGATGAAGGACTAGAGGATGACCAACACAAACTGTGCAGCAGCAGATGAGCTATCGTCTCTGACTTTACATCTACAAGGTGGACCGACAAAGTAGGAGTGTCTAATAGAGTGAACAGTGAGTGGACACAGTGTTTAAAAACTCCAGCAGCACTGCTGTGTCTGATCCACTCGCACCAGCGCAACACACACTAACACATCACCACCCACCCACTGCAGTGCTGAGAATGATCCACCACCCAAATAGTACCTGCTCTGTGAGGGTCCATGGGGGTCCTGACCACTGAAGAACAGGGTAAAAGGGGGCTAACAAAGTAGGCAGAGAAACAGATGGACTACAGTCTGTAACTGTAGAACTACAAAGTGCACCTATATAGTAAGTGGAGCTGATAAAATGGACAATGAGCGGAGAATCGAGGTAGTCATAATGTAATGCCTGATCGGTGTACACACACACACATTGAGTTTGTCTCAAAACCTAGTGAGCTCTCTAAGTAACCACTGTCTACATAGGCATCTGTCTAAGTAGGCAGCGTTCCAACCGTCATCTATCCTTATAAGGCAGATAAATGAGATGTTCTAGTTAGACAGCAGTGACATCGCCGCTTGTTCCCGCCCACTGCACGAGACCGGCGTTTACTTGCCTCAGCCGTCAGAATCACAGTTAGCCAACATGGATCTGCTCTGACGGTTTATATAGCGATTTTAATTGTATTTGATCTGAATGAAACAGCAAAATAGACAATAGTTGTGGTCAAACTCGGAAAGTATAGGCTATTTGTGCACCTTTATGACTAGAAAACAGATAAATACCCCAGAAAATCAGAATAACTCACGTTTGAAGATGACGTCGCTGCTTGGCGAAGCGTTTCTACCCACCATCTTCAAACAAAATTTGCGCCGCGCTGCATCGCGGGATTGCCTCAGCGGTTGAGGAAACATCCGATGCTCTCTCGATATTGGGCCAAAATGAGAGACCTCAGTAGGCAGCATGTTTGAGATATCCAAGAATTGGGACGGCCTTCTTGTCGGGAGCGTGCATATTGTGACGTAAAATGCTGTCTATATAGAGAGCTCACTAGGTTTTGAGACACACCCAATATCTCTCTCTCTCTCTCTATATATATATATATATATATATATATAAACTCTTGAAACTAGAATCTTGAGAGCCTTTCCATTTTTGGGCCTGTTATATGAGCATATTTGCAGTCAGATGAATTATTAAGCTAATCGATACACTGTTTAGTAGTTAAAAATCATATGTAGTTATTAATTTATCTTGATATGACACTTGGGGGCTGTTTTGCATGTTCAGAAGAGAAAACGAGGTGCCTGGCAGAAAACTTCTGCCATGAACGACAGTAGAAAGGAAAGCTTTTTTGTAGTTCTTTTTGTCCCAAACCTTTATTGCAGCACTCAAACAGAAAATTTACAGTTGTTTACAGAATTGTGACATCACCCAAAAGTCCCTAAAATTGCAATAACTTAAAATGTGTTAGCCTATACAGCAGAATAATCATGTAAACCTATTAATTCAACAAAAAAAATAAAAGCCACTGGGGTAAACTCCTGTTTAGTGGACTGCAATAAGATAAACCCCCTTGCAGATAGATTTATTGCTGGTTGTGCGATGCCACACTTTCCCTTGAAATATCATCCTTAGCAAGCTGCTGAATCCCACTGTTCACTTATGGCTTTGAAAAGTTAACACTTTTGTTTCTTCAGTTACAAACGTTTGCCTAGAAAGTCCTTTTAAAATCTTAAAAACAAAACAAAAATAATCTAATCGTAAAATTTTGTATTACGTAAGTTAATACCACTTTAAAAATTCACATTGACTGCAAAAGTGTTGAGTAGAAAAAACCCTCGAATGTTATAGAAAAACAAAAATAGTCCCTAAAAACTATATTGCAAACTCTTCTACCTGTTCTGAAAACATTTATTCTGGCAGGCCCCTTACGACAGCAATGTACACACAGTATAACACTACAGAACAGAGAGAGAGGAGAGAAGAGGATGAGAAAAAGGATGAATCCACAGTGACACAGAGCCAAAATTGAAACTGACATGACTTTTCTTTAAAACAGGACTTGCTACATTATTGTTTGTGTAACCATGTTGTAAGACTAACCATGATTATAATGACAGCAACAATATTATTGAGTAAACACAGCCCACTGAGGCCCTGTTAAGACTGAAGAGTGACCAAATGCACCTGGTCGTATTCCCTAACGGATCTAATACAGCATTTCCTTTCTTAGTCTTTAAGCTGTTACACACAAAATGCGATTAATGTGTGCGATTTATTCGGACGACAGTGAATTAATTTGAAAATGTGTATTACTGACAGTATCTTTCACACCAAACGCGCTTTTTCAGATGGCAAACTGGAGACATGTAATTAGCCTTCACCGATGACAAAAACTCACTGACCAATCATGACCATCTCTAGTGTTGGCATGACAACAACCAAGACGACAGAAGCTGTGTTCCAGCAAATAGGGCTTTTTAGAAAAGCTAAAACTATCAGAATCTCCAAAAAGCAGCTCAATCTGACCTACAAACATCAGCTTAAATATGGAAGAGCTCAACGTTTTCTAAATGAAGTGGTGAAACTCTTCAAGCTACTTATACTTTTCCAGAATGGACAGTAGTCCAGTGTCACCGTTTGTCCGTTCTGCTGGGGGCAAATAATCGGATCTTATTTGCACTTAAAGACATTGAGCCCATTTGGTTTGTGCTTCGTTTAGTGTGGGGCTCTAAAATCAGCTCAAAGCTGAGATCCCAGTTGTGGGTGAAAGATCTCGTACAGTTTCAGCTCCTAAATGAGGTGAAGAAATTCTCCATTCTCCTTTTGTTCTTCCAAAGCGGAAAACATTTGCATACCGTCACAGTTTGACTGTTTTATGAAGAGTAAAGGACCCTTTCTGATATATACATACACCCATATCGCTGTCAGAACAAACCTTGTATCTCTATTTCTGACATTTTTCAGTTTTTGACATAATTTGAAAGTGCCCGTTGCCCTTTACATTGTAAATTTTATGATGAATGGATCAACAGAAACGGCCCAAAATAACTGGAAAAGTCTGGTTACTCTGACTTGCATTAAAAGTAAAGTATGTTTTTTCTGTCTCCTGTAAAGTTACCATTTTGGAGATAAGGTTTTGTTCCGACAGCAGCGATATATAAAAAACAGGGCAAAATTACAAAAAAAATTAAAAATCTCACCGTGTACGGTGTGTATCATGATGTGGGGGGAAAAAAATTGTCCAAATATTCCGCATTTTCATGCGGCTTTGTCATGCTGCATTCGGTGTGCAACTTTCTGTAGACTATATAAATGACCTACTGTAATCAGGACACAGGTATCGCAGGAAGTCTGCCAAAATTATTTAGATGTCGAAATGAATGATATACAAACAACTTCGCATATGCAAAGATAATGTAGGTTTTTGTCCCTTTTCTTTTTGTCCCGTTTCTTTTCCCACCAAGCGGTTCTATTTGGGAAGACCCTCAGGCTTACTGTCTCACAGACCCTCGTACACAAACACAGCAGCTGGAGTGTCCGTCTGAAACAGTGATGCCTAGCTTGAGTCAAATCGCCAGTAAAAGCATTACAATCAAAAGAGGTACGTGATGTGCTCTTGATCGCCCCCTACTGCATTTTTAAGTCAAACTGCAGAGCCATAGTCAACAGAAGAATCTCTCAGAAGAATTCAATCAGAAGGCAACACAGACTGGTGCTCGCGAATAACCCGACACGCTTGTAAAATAAGTGCCAGCCTACAGAATATGAAATGTGACACGCCTTCCTCTGATCGAGCTCTGTGCAAAACACATGCAGTGTTTGGATTAAATGGACCGAAGGAGGTACTAAAGGCTAACAAACAATATTTAAGAATAAGAGAATTAAGTGTCATGGAAAGATTCGAAAAAACATGGCTCATAGGATTGTTTCGCAAAGGTTATACTTTTACACGCACACTAACAGCAACACTCGCGCACGCACTCGCACCACAGCCTGAAAATCGTCTTAGTTAACCTGCCAGCATAAATTCGCCTTTGATATGCAACGTTAGAAGAGTCTTCTCAATACGTAACGGTAATACTACACTTAGTGAAACCACTGTCAAAGATCAGTGCAGCTTTGCATAGTACCTTCACATTAAAACAACGTTTGCTTTATATTCTAACAGACAACTCAACAGGGAGAGACACCGATGAATTCACAAATCAGAAACGATACAATGTGAAGATATCAAACTTACAAAGCAACATGTACCTCTGCTCTTATACACAGGAAAGAAAAAATCTAGTCTCAAACCAAACCACTCCACGTGGTGAAAAAAAATGCTACCTTCACATCTACTTTAAAGGAAGAAAGGAGAAAAGAATCGACTGGGCATTGCAGTTAAGATGTTCGGAAGGGAAGAAAAATGACAGCAAAAATCCAAAGAACAAAAGAGAAAACAATTTAAAAGTAAAAAAAAAATGTGTACTTAACATATACACAAAAAAACCACATTATCATTTCAATATCTGAGTGTCTAAATGGAACAAAAACAACAAAAAAAAAAACCCTCAAAAAAATACAAAAAACAAAACAGGATGCTAGTTTTGTCCTTTGTTACTCCGTCGTGGGAACGCTCAGCTGCTCACTCGTAGTGGAATGCCACATGGCTGCTCCTCTCTGCCTCGGGACACGCAGCCTCGCAACTTTACGTTTCTGTAAAAAACGGAGATAATTAGACACAGCTCAGACTTTACATCAAGTTTCAAGCTGCATCACAACCCACCATGCTAGACTGTTAGAAATAAAGGTTCTGTGCAGGTACATTTCTCGTCCATCAAGGTACAAACAGTGCAAAAGGTACAACAGTGGTTTTAAGGTCTGATTGTGAACCTTAAATAAGTTTTTCCAGGTGAAAAGTTCGTATTTGTACCTTTTCATAACCGAATGTTTTGAAAACAGAACAGTAAAATAAAAGCCTGGAGACGAGACGGGGTGTGTGGAGTAAGGGTGGGAATCTCTAGGCACCTCACGATTCGATCGATACGATACAGAGGGCTGCGATGCGATTATAAAACGATTTATCGATGCATCTCAATGCATCTTTTTTTCGGTACAGCATTTATATTTTCTCACTGTGTGAGTTCAAGTTTATTTGTCATTTGCAGAACATGTCAGGACATTTACGCATTGAAATGCTTGTGGTGAGGCTCAGCTAATCACTCTACAGAAAGTAAATAAGTAAAAATAAAAATACAAGAAAAACTAACTGACATATTAAATATACACAAAATATACACAGAATGTAGAGACAATATACATTTTAAAGTGACTAAGTGACTTGGTGTTATTGTTATTTAAAGTGACTTGGTACTTTTAAACCAAAGTATTTGTAATGATCCGTAATGAATTTACTTTCAATATCTTATTAATAAATCAAATGGAAGTGATGTGGCAAGTGAACTAGAAGGCTCTCATTCAGTGCTCTTGTTTGGAGCACATGAGACGCTGCTGCTACTCATCTGCGATAAAATGCGCAGTTACGGTGAAATAAGATCCAGTGGTGATGGACGACCACGCAGCACGTTACAGCTGTCCTACACGTTTTCTTTAGTGATTTTATAACTTCGGTTTCGGTCTCGTTGTAGAGACGGGGAGGATCGCTGTGTCAGTAAAGTATCTTCGAGACATACATAGCGCGAAAACCCTGTTTCGCAACGACTGCAGGTCACCTAGCAACGATGCGTTATTCGCATTTATAAGCAGTGCAGTTGGTTTCCTGGTACGTTAAATCTGCAACGCGAGACTGTGAAACACTAAACAGTTACTAAGATGAACTCGCTTCTCTTTCGAATTCTCCCGTTCCAACTTAAGTGGTGTCGCATTTACATTCGGCGCCTCAGTCAGAATTTAAGGTGGAACGGGTAAATTCGAACAAGAAGCTGGAGAACAAGAAGTGACTTCAGCCTCGTAAAACAGTCGAACGCATTTTACAATAAGCTGCTCTAGTTTTGAATAAAAGTTTCCTGAGGGAAAGGGGAGGAAAGCGGCTAAAGCTAAAGCAGAGCGAAGTAAATCTGTGCTCTCGTTTATAATTTTTAGCCTATACTAGACCATTAGCACATACTGACACATACTGGACATTAAATGTTGTGGCTCCCAAGGTGGTTTGATTTTTGTTGATAGGACAAAATGTCTCTTCTGATCATTTGTGTTGTGACTCCTGACCTAACCTGGCTTTTAATGCAGAGGGAGCCGGTCGGATTTCTCGCTCATCCAGTAGTGTTTTTGTTACGTGCTGCCGCAGACTGTCCGGGCGCTGCACTTACCCACTTCCAAGTTCCGCCTTTTGCGTTCCGTCAACATGACGTTATAAATTAAATATTTAGAAAATCGATTTTTGACATTTATTAATCGATTCAGAATTGTTAACGTCCGCATCGTGATGCATCTAAGAATCAATTTTTTCCCGCACCCCTAGTGTGGAGTCAGTACAGCTTAGAAAATATCATTTCAGTGGATTATGGTACAGTTATGTTCCCTGACTAAAGGTACTGAGATGGACCCTTGAGGGTCCCACCCCCAGTGACAAGAGGGGAACTGCCTCAGTGACAGTTTAGTACCTTTATTTCTGAGAGTGTGACAAAATGTTCTACCTCCATTTGGGTCAGCTTTAATTTTTTTTGCATAATTTGAAAGCTCAGCATTTTATATTGTGTGAACATTTCATGATGAATGGACTGACAAAAATGGTACAAAATTACTTAAATCTCATTACATTAACTTAAAGCTTTCCTTCTCCTGTAAAGTTACTAATGTGAAGATGTGAAGTTTTGCTCCGACAGTGACTGTATTAAAATGTGACTTATGTCTTGTAATATGACTTATAAATGTTGACATTAATAAGAATAAGAATCCAGCACACACAGAAGAAACACTATCAGGCTCCTGAAAGAAGAGGGTCTTACATAACAGTAGATTGTAAGATTTTGTTAAATATTATTTTCATGTACAGACATGGACGTGATCAATACAGAACTAATAAGTAAATTTTAGTAAAGTTTAATGGTAATATTCATACGCAGTATCATTAAATCTTAACACTGTCGCTAGTGCTGGTGCCACTTCTCAAAATGAAGTCAAGTACAGATAGATGACCAGACCCCATCACACACACACACACAGAAATGTTTCTTCTTCAAATAAAATGGAGAATGTGGTGTAGATGGTTCTATACAGAAGCTTTTTAAAATGTGTGTGTACATATATATATATATATATATATTTATTTATTTATAGCTGTTGTCAGAAGAAAACCTTGTATCTCCAAAATGATAACAGGAGAAGGAAAAAACTTTTTACCTTAATATTAATTATTTAATAAAATTAAACATTTAATAATAAAATTTATAGTTTTAATCCAGTATATTTTTAATAATTGAGTCATTTCTTTTGGTCCATTCATCATGAAATTTACACACAATATAAACAGCAACAGGCATTTTCAAATTATGTCAAAAAGTGAAAAACATCTAAAATGGAGATATGAGGTTTTCTTCCAAAAACACCATGCGAGAGAGAGAGAGAGAGCACCATTATAACAATAGAAGAACCTTTGGTGCTACATAGAACCCTTTTAAAAAACAAACCACATTACATTCTCCATCAATTTAAAGGATTATTTAATGATGCAAAGAACCCTTTAATCGTGTAAAGTGTTCTTTGAGTATTCATGGTTCAGTATAAAACTTTTTTTTTGTTTACTAAAGAACCCTTTGAGAACCATCTTTTTTAAGAGTGTAATCTGCACAAAGACTGATAAACATGGGCTCCAGCGTCTGCCATTTTGAAGCATCAAACATTAGAACTGTCATGTTGTATTTCTGAAGCCACAAGAGGGCAGAAATGTTCCTATCTGTCCACGTATCGGCTGAAACAGTTAGCGTCTACAAATACTGCACTGTGAGAGCAAAGAATGAACTTCTTTGATACAAAATCACTGAGTCTGTGTACAATAGACAAGCAGCTGGTGACTATACGTGAGTAGACATTGTCGTTGATCCATAGAGCAGGATTTTAGAAAAGGATTTTGAGCAGAAAGTAAGCATTGACAGTAGATTTTAGTCCAGGACAACACTGCTAAAAAGATGGTTCTTCAAAGAGTTTTTGGTCCTTCATTTTGATGGATGTGGTCCTTCACAGTGTTGCATGTGGTTCTATATGGAACCTTTTTGAAAAGTGCTCTATACAGCACCAGAATGGTTCTGCTACTGTTACGATATAAAGCTTGTAACAGCTGAAGAACCCTTTTCCCCTATAGGAGGCAGGGTTAATCCGTAGGGGAAACCATCACACATTCTCACATGACCACGCACAGCAAACATGAATGTAGGCTCAGGGCAGTGGCTATCTAATCTATTAGACTAAAAGCAAGCATGTACAAAGTTCAGGCTTACCTAAACTGTGTCCCTGTGAACCAGTGATGAATCTGGGTAATGCAGAAAGATGGTTAAACATTGATTGTCTGTTTCTTTACAAAACCAAAGAGGAAAAAATTGATTTACTTCTATTTATTCATCTTATGTTGACTCTCAAGTAGTCCAAGTAATTTCAAGTACTGGCCACAATACACGTGATGGAAAAGATGCTACGTTCCTTCCTACACAGTACGAAAAACCTGACATATGGTTGTGAACAAAAGTCTGAGCACCCCTGGTTAAATCACGTTTTGTTGATGTGAAAATAACAAACAAATATTAAATAAAACATTTAAACATTAACATTTTTCTGCAAAATTATTTGCTGAGTTTAGCATGTAGAATTGAAGAAATAAAAATAATACATAAAATATCCAATGTGCACAGGCTACATTTTATGTTTAATTTTGATTTTCCCCAATATGTTAGGTTCAGCAAATGAACAATAAATACATGAATTAAAATGTGCAGAAGAGTGGTCTCTGTAGAGGGTGCATTGTGTGCTTTTTTTACTTAAAAAATCAAAACATGTACTTTGACTAGGGGCGCCTAAAAATTTGCATACCACTGTATAGCAAATTAGGGATGGCCATAGCTGACCATAGTCTTAACAACAATTATACACTGACCACCTCCTTGTTTCTACGCTCATCGTCCATTTTATCAGCTCCACTTACTATATAGGTGCACTTTGTAGTTCTACAGTTACAGACTGTAGTCCATCTGTTTCTCTGCATACTTTGTTAGCCCCCTTTTACCCTGTTCTTCAGTGGTCAGGACCCCCATGAACCTTCACAGAGCAGGTACTATTTGGGTGGTGGATCATTCTCAGCACTGCAGTAACACTGATGTGGTCATAATGTTATGCCTGATCGGTGTATTGAGCAGTAAACACTGACCTTTTTCATTTAAAATTGTATTTTGAGGAATATCAGTGGGTAGACAGAAGAATATAGCTAGATTATTCCACTAAAACTGTAACTATCAAACATGGCATTTATGCATTTTGTCGAATAATCATTTATGTATCAGCAGTGTGGCCAGAGAGCTTATCGGAGCGCACCTTTTCCCTGTGCACCAGCACCCGCAAAAGTCTGTGTATAAATGTTGTGCAAATATCTGTATAAACACCCCCAAGCAAAGCTTTCAAGCAAATAGAAGTACAAAACTGATTTACTGCCCGACCTGTAACTTCTTCTTCCGGCTGTTCCTCCTCAGCAGCTACCTCATCTGTAACATCACAAAGTTCACTGCGTGTCAGAGACCAACATCAGCATCAATTTAAATGTGTAAACACTAGAAATATTGTTGAAATAGTTTCACACCTTCAGATTGACTTAGTGATTCTGTCTCCTCTGCCTCTGTGGTTTGAGAAAAAAGTTTAAACAGCAGAAAGAAATTAATCAAAGCACAACTGACAATGTTTCTCACAAGTCTCAGACATGACCAGCAGGTCTTTGTTGCATAACATCTCTCAGCTTACCTGTTTCTTCTGTTGTTCCTAAATCTGTGTCCTCTTCTGTTTCCTCTGTATATTCTGTTCAAAAAATAGATTTTTTTTAGTTAGTATCATCGTGGAAATGGTAAAGTTTTTGAAGTACTATAAACGAAAAAGCAACATGAATAAGTCATAGTTATCCTGACTGACCATAAGCCAGCTTCTGTACTTCAGGATCAAGATACTATCGTTATCTTGTTTGTATTTGAAAAATCAGTTTTTTTTCAGTTGCATTTTCATTGTTTGATACATACGAATGTGCATACACTAAACACTTGACATGTTAACACTTACCTACCTACAGTATGTACTTTATACAATCGTTATATCACAGATGTACAAGGTTTCCAGAGGATTATTCATAATGCATTTCTAAAGGACAGACTCATGAATGCCAGCAATTTTCAATAGAGTCTGGCTGCAGACATGCACTCTCAGACAGATGCACTCTCAGCCCCAGTGACGTCACGTGCACTTGCACTCTCTGCCACGACGGCAGAAGCAGCCCAACGGCAAAGTAACTTTTGGCTGCTGCTGCTTAGCGACATCATCCATTTTCCATCCATAACGCGGCTAGAGTGTTACATTTAATGTACCTCCCTGCTGAAAAAAGTCATAGAACCCGTTAAAAGTGTCTGGTGGTTTTCAGTAGTCGCTAATGGTATTCTGTGTTTTCCTGATGGGTTGATATCACAGTGTAAAGAATTCATATCATTTAATCAGGTGTTTTGGGACTGATTCCACATACTTTTGTTCATTTCCTAGTGGCCCCTATTGCAACCATCAAGCCAATTCCCGTTAGAAGGCAAAACCATCAGGTTTTATTACTAATGGTTCAAATAGTTTTCTGGATGTTTTTCATGAGTTTCAGTAGCCTGTTCGTTTTTGTTTTTTCTGCGAATAAACCCGACATTCATGTCTTATCGTTGTGGTTTTATTTTGAAAGTTTCCATATGTATTACCTTATTACCAGTACGACAATGTTAATATATGATCAGTGTAACTCTTGTTGCCCTTGTTTTTCCTCATAAAACCGACAAAAACACTCGTGGCAGAGCAGCACTGACATTAATAGGCTGGCGGTGCATGTCCGGCTGAGAGTGCTTGTCTGCAGCCAGACCCTTCTTGCATTTTTTTCTGGGACAATCACCTGGCAGAGTAAGCGACCAAAAGCACGAAGCTATTTAGTGTCAACAGCCAAGAAAAACATTCCAGGCTTGGTGGATTTCCTCTTGCTGTATATTAAAACGGTTCTTACCGCTCTCTTCTGATTCTGCCGCTGGTTCTTCTTCAGTTTCCTCTTCGTGAAGTGCTTCGTCCTGTTCCGTTACAGCCTCTTCTGCCTCTTCCTCCACAGGTGCTTCTTCCTCAACAGGGGCTGCCTCTTCTACAGTCTCCTCAACAGGTTCAGCTTCTTCTGCTCTTTCCTCCACGGTCTCCTCAACAGGGGCAGCCTCCTCAACTGCCTCTTCAACAGGTGCAGCTTCTTCTGCTCTTTCCTCCACTGTCTCCTCAACTGCCTCTTCAACAGGTGCAGCATCCTTGACTGAGTCTTCTACATGGGCAGCCTCCTCAATTACCTCCTCAACTGCTTCTTCTACATGGCCAGCCTCCTCAACTACCTCCTCGACTGCTTCTTCTACATGGACAGCTTCCTCAACTGCCTCCTGGACTGCTTCTTCTACATGGACAACCTCTTCAGCTAGCTCCTGGACTGCTTCTTCTACATGCACAGCCTCCTCAGCTACCTCCTGGACTGCTTCTTCTGCATGAACAACCTCCTCAACTACCTCCTGGACTGCTTCTTCTACATTGCCAGCCTCCTCAACTACCTCTTCAACTGGAGCGGCCTGTTCCTGAACTGGCTCAGCCTCTTCTTCCACTTCTGGCTCTTCCTCTACAACTTCGGGTTCTTCCTCAGGAACCTCTTGGTCGTCCTCATCCTCTGGTTCCACCTCAGCTGCTTCCTCCTCTACAGCCTCAGGCTCCTCTTCTGCAGCCTCAGGCTCCTCTTCTGCAGCCTCAGGCTCCTCTTCTGCAGCCTCAGGCTCCTCATCTGCCGCTTCAGGCTCCTCATCTGCCGCTTCAGGCTCCTCATCTGCCGCTTCAGGCTCCTCATCCGCCGCTTCAGGCTCCTCATCCGCCGCTTCAGGCTCCTCATCCGCCGCTTCAGGCTCCTCCTCCACAGCCTCAGGCTCTGGCTCAGGCTCTGTGTTGAATGCATTTGCGTTTTCTTAACATTGCGCTTAACTAATTGGAAATAAACTTGAACTTGAAGTGTATACAAGAACGTGTATAAGAGTACCCATACCTGGTGGAGGCTGAGCTGACTCCTTAACTTGGGCGGCTTGAATCTCCTCCTCTACAACAGGCTCTGGTGCTGGAGCTGTTTTGAGAACAGAGACTTTGTGAGAAAACAAAACAAGCTCTGAAAAATGTGCAGATCCAAAAGATCATTTTCAGGGGAGTCCAGTCCTGGGAGCATCATGTATTGCACATTTTTGTTTTTCCCCTGCTTACACACATCTCAGCTGTGCAAAATGTAAAATAAAAACAGAAATGATGAGAAAAATCACTTAAACCCTATATTTAATTCAAGACAGGACAAAGACAACAAGTAAAATGTTGAAACTGAAAGTTTTCTTCTTTTTAAAATATATGGCCACTTTGAATTTGATGCCAGCAGCACGTTCCAAAAAAAGTTGGGACGGGGGCATGTTCACCACTGTGCCGCATCACTTCTTTTAACAACACACTGTGTTTCTGAACTGAGGAGACCAACAGCTGTAGTTTTGAAAGTGAAATGTTTTCTTGTTCTATAGGATTTCATCTGCTAAACAGTTCAAGGTTTCCTTTGTCGTATTTTCAGTTTCATAATGCACCACGTTTTCAGTGTGCAACAGGTCTGGATTGCAGGCAGGCCAGTTTAGCACCCGGACTCTTAATACGGAGCCATGCTGTTGTAATACGTGCAGAATGTGGTTTTACACTGTCTTGCTGAAATAATCAAGGCCTTCCCTGAAAAAGACGTCGTCTGGATGGCAGCGTATGTTGCCAAAACCTGTATATATCATTCAGCATTAATGGTGCCTTCACAGATTTGCAAATCACCAATGTAATGTGCACTAATGCCCCCCTACACCATCATGAATACTGGCTTTTGAACCACAGGACACTTTTTCACTTCCTCTCAGTCCATCTTAGATGGACTTGGGCCCAGAGAAGGCGGTGGCATTTCTAAGTCTTGTTTATATTTGGTTCCTTCTTTGCATGGTAGAGTTTTAACTTGCATTTGTGGATGCAGCGACGAAGCATTTTCACAGACAGTGGTTTTCAGAAGTGTTTCTGAGCCAATGCATCGATTTCCACTACAGAATCAGGTCTGTTTTTATGTAGTGCTGTCTGAGGGCCCAAAGATCACGGCCAGCCAATGTTGGTTTTCAGCCTTGTCCCTTACATACAGATATTTTTTCAGATTCTCTGAATCTTTTAATGTTGTTATGTACCATAGATGATTAAAAGCAAAAATTCTTTACTATTTTATATTGAGAAATGTTATTCTTGAATTGTTGCTCTATTTGATCGTGCAGTCTTTCACAGAGTGGTGAACCTCTCCTCATCTTTACTTCTGAAAGACTCAGCCACTCTGGGATGCTCTTTTATATCCAGTCATGTTACTGCCCTGTTGACAGTTAACCACCAGGTGTTTTTGTAGCATTACATAACTTTACTAGTCTTCTGTTGCCCCTTTTCCAACTCTTTTGTAAGCTTGTTGCTGACATTAAATTCAAAATAGGCTTTTTTGTTTTTCAAAAAACAAATTTGTTTCAACATTTGATATGTTGTTTTTGTACTATTGTCAGTTAAATAAAGAGTTGAAACTCTTTGCACATCTTTGCATTTTGTTATTTTCCATTTTGCACAGCGCCCCAACTTATTTGGAAACAAGGTTGTTTAACTGACTGATCAGGTCAGCGTGTTCACTGAGCACGATGGTGGAGTGTTTACATTCATAGCTGATTTACGCAACAGTTTTGGTGGTATGTGGCAAGACCAGCTTATCGGCACTGTCAGAGCTTGTACACACGATAAAACGACTCATGTTCTCAAACCAATCCACACCTATCAGTGAAAAATCTACTAACAGAGCAGATGGCACACACACACATGTCTATACCACACTTATGAACAGTGTTAATGTTTAACTTTTGTTTAGATAAAGTTTCACAAATTCTTTGTTTCAGTCTGATAGACACAGTCGGTGTTGAAATCACCAAGGTCAGTAGTAATAGACAACTTTGCAGTTTGAGTAATACTGGGTTCGATTCCTCTCTGTATTCTGAAAAGAACAAGTCTGAAATGTAGTCGTCTTATGGCAGAAATGTTTGATACATTATTGCAAAACATTAATGTTTTTGTAATTTATATGCATTACAGGTGCCGTATATATTTAGTGTATAAACATTATAGCAGAAAGCATTTAATGCCCTATTTAACAATGCATATGGGCCAGAGATTCAGGTTTGGGTCCTAGCAGTGTAATGTAACTTTTCTGAGAAAACAAATGCACTAAATCCCATGCACTAGGGAACAATGGCAGGAATAATTTTATGCACATTACTATATGATGCTACAGCTTATGGGACATCTACACAGATGTCTGGCAGAGTAGAGCATTCAGCGCTTTCTCTCAAATAGCTAGCAAAGCTGTGTGGTCAGTAGCCAAAGAAGTCTAAACTCGGACTCAACTAAGTTAAGTTAAATAACAATAAAAAGGCCTAAGCACTGCAGCAAATGCACCTTCGGAGACACTGCGACCACAACCAATATGTGCATTACTTTATTTTATACAGTGACTGGCCACTTCATTAAAGCCACCTCCATGTTTCTATATTCCTTATCCATTTTATCAGCTCCACTGACCATATAGTTTCACTTTGTAGTTCTACAGTTACAGACTGTAGTCCATCTGTTTCTCTGCATACTCTGTTACCCTGTTCTTCAGTGGCCCCACAGAGCAGGTACTATTTGGGTGGTGGATCATTCTCAGCACTGCAGTAACACTGACGTGGTGGTGGTGTGTTAGTGTGTGTTGCGCTGGTGCGAGTGGATCAGACACAGCAGTGCTACTGGAGCTTTTAAACACTGTGTCCACTCACTGTCCACTCCATTAAACACTCCTAACTTGTCAGTCCACCTTGTAGATGTAAAGTCAGAGACGATAGCTCATCTGCTGCTGCACAGTTTGTGTTGGTCATCCTCTAGTCCTTCATCAGTGATCACAGGACGCTGCCCACAGGACGCTGTTGGCTGAATGTTTGGTTCTCAGTCCAGCAGTGACACTGAGGTGTTTTAAGAACTCCAGCAGCACTGCTGTGTCTGATCCACTCGCACCAGTGCAACACACACGGATAATAATAATAATATAATAATAATAATGATAATAATAATACCTGATCTGTGGGGGTCCTGACCACTGAAGAACAGGGTAAAAGGGGGCTAACAAAGCATGCAGAGAAACAGATGGACTACAGTCTGTAATTGTAGAACTACAAAGTGCACCTGTATGGTCAGTGGAGCTGATAAAATGGACAATGAGTGTGGAAACAAGGAAGTGGACTTAATTATGTGGCTGGTCAGTGTATGTGCCCTTTTATTGGCATAAACCAAACAATGAAGTGCTGCCTCTCTAGAATAGGAGACTATGCTTCAGATATTTCTGACAAAGTATTATTAGTATTCTTAGGACTGAACTATTAATATGTGCATCAGCTGAACTTTACTACCCATGTAGAGAATTTGATGTTACTTTTACCTTCTTCAACAGGTGCTGTAGAGGGCTCTTCTTCAGCAGGTGGACTTGTCACAACGGTAGGCTTCTCTTTCAGTCCTGAGGTTTCACATGTGCATGTGCAGATATATGAGGCATGGCTGTTATGTAATTATACATGGTTCCCAAATGCAGTGTAAAAAAAATCATATACAAATCAATAATAACCACATTCATAAATGTATTCTGCATAACCCCATCTGAATTGTGTGCATTTTAAAACATGGACTGACATTTGGTTTACTTTTGCTCCATGTCTTTTTATTCACAGCTTTGTAGCAAAGGCATATATATATATATAATATTTATTTATTTATTAAAGTGATTAATAGAAAGAGAGGACATAGAGAAGAGAGTGAAAGAGCATACTGTACTCCTTTAATTAAAAAAGTCAACCGTCTTAAGCATGATAACCATTTGGCTGCATCAGCTGTCAAGTCTACCTAGTTTTTCTGTGGTTTTCAAAATCAGTAGTCAAAACATGGTGCTGAATGTTGAAAAACAAGTCGCAGATGATGCCTTTACTGGCAACACAAAAAGCTGATCCTTTATAAGGTTTCTGACCATCATAAAACTGTGGAATCAGTGAGCATGTCCTAATTTACAAATAACTCAAAATAAGTCTAAGACCAAAATAAAACCATTCAGCTACGCCCTAATATAGCAAAACATTCAACAGAAGCAATAAAAAGGACTACGTTGGCATGTAGCATCTTGCCTGTTCTTTTCCAACTCTTAAGATCCTTCGAGAGCTGTGTGCAGGTCACTTACAGCACTGAGCAGCTAAACCTGTTTCCCCATATAAAATAAAACATAAAAATGTGCATACAGAATGTCTGACCAAATGATCTTTAATGGAACTGAAATATTCAGAACGTCTGGCACATCTGCTCTTCACATTAAAGGGGACCTATTATGCTTTTCCGTAATCTTTCCTTTAGTGTGTTATAGTTTTTTGTGCATGTAAACGTCCTGCAGTCACAAAGCTGAAACCTCTTTTCTCAGCTGCCTGAAACGCCTCGTTGGAATTCCAGCCCTTCCCTTTGTTACAAGATGACATTATCTTGTAACACAGTCCTTACTGCCCACCTACCGGCGAGCTCGGCACACCCTCACACAGCGCACAGCAGCTACTGGAGGAGGAAGAGTGTGTAGTGCTGTAGCGTGTGGAGAAGACACTGACCGGACTTTCAGGATCCACTCTGGATCAAACTGATCCGGCAGAACCGACGCCGCTGGAGAAACAGCCACAGCTGAGTTTACAGCTGCTCAGGAGAGAAGGGTCTGTCTGCAGACTGCAGGACAGGGGCGGAACCTGGAGGACGGAACCACTCTGGAGGTCGACCAGTCAGAACAGAGTGGGCGAGCTGACCAGTCAGAGCAAGCTGGGCTCATCGGGAGGCGGGGCTTAGAGACGCAGGAGCTCTAACAGAGCGTTTCAGACAGAGGGTGAATAGAGATGAGCAGTATAAGAGAAATAACGTATTTGGAGTAAATCTATTCTAGTTGACCGTGAAAATGAGCATAACAGGTCCCCTTTAAGAGCTGCTTTACTGTTTCTTTTTAGCCTTCTTGGCTTCTTTTCCCTTGCCATCCTTCTCAGCTTTTCTGCCCTCAGCATCAACAGGCTTATCATGCGGCTTCTTATCCTTCTCAGGCTTTTCCTTTTCCTCATCTTTTTCTGTCTTTGCCTTCTCTGCCATTTTCTCCCTCTCCTCTTTCTCCCTCCGGATCCTCTCCATGGCCTTTTCCACATCCGCCTTCTCTATTCTCTCTCCTTCCTCTTTCAGACGAGCCTCGGCCCTCTCCCAGGCCTTGGCCTCCGACTCCTCTCTCATTCGGTCCAAGGCCTTCTCCTCTTCCTCCTTGGCTATGATGTTTCTCACTTCCGCCAGGGCCATTTTGGCTATCTTCCTGGCCTCAATTCTCTCGTGGATGATCGTGAGTTGCTGCTTTAGCGCTTCCCTCAGCTTCAGCCCGGCGTCCTTGGCGTGGGAATGGTCTAGGGAGTGAAAGCCCTGGTTGCTGATGTAATCATTGCAGCTAAATTTCAGAAGGCCACGATGCAAGCACTGAAGGCTCAAGCCACTCAAGCCACAAGGCCATTAGTTTAAATAATGAGTTTGGTCAGATCAAAGTCGTCGCAATGTGAAGACCATACACTCCTTTCTTTCACATTCTAATGTGATATTAAGGTCTAATGGCTTACAAAGAGTAGTACGAGGTTATTTTGTTATTTTTAGGGTTAGGAAAACACTATGTAGTAAACACACTCAGCAAGCTACCATACTTTCTTAAAAATGATGGTTCTTCAAAGGGTTCTTTAGTAAAAAGAACAGTGGTTCTATATAGAATTAAAAGTTATTTAGTTATTTTTAGGGCTAAGAAAACATTACATGTAATATACACACTGATCAAGTTACCATACACTGTTTAAAAAAAAAAAAAAAGCTGGTTCTTCAAGGGTTGTTTAGTAAAGACAGTGGTTCTGTATAGAACTGTAACACTCAAAAGAACCATTTGCATGCTTAAATGGTTCTCTGCAAGGTAAAATCATTCTTTAGATTGACAGAGAATGTGTTGTATATGGTTCTATATAGAACCTTTTTGAAAAGGGTTCTACACAGCACCGAAAAGGGTTCTCCTATAGACGTTACAGTAGAAGAATGCTTTTTGGTTCTATATAGAACCATATACAGCACATTCTCCATCAATCTGAAGAACCATTTCACCATGCAGAGAACCATTTAAGCATGCAAAGGGTTCTGAGTGTTATAGATCTATATAGAACCATTATCTTTACTAAAGAACCTTTGAAGAACCGTCATTAAGAGTGTAGGCACTCTACACATTTAACTAGCAGAATATTAGAAAAGCAAACTACACACACCCACAATCCACTTTATTAGAAAAGTCTACCCTGTATCTACTGTACAGTTCCACTATGTAGGTGTACAGTTACAGACTGTAGTCCATCTGTTGCTGTACAGTGTAACAGCCCCTCACTGATCACTGGTCAGTTTCTGATCACAGGACCACAGCTGACCAGATATTATTTGGACCACTCTCAGCACAGCAGTGACTGACCATTGATGATGGGCTGAACACACTGTGCATCAATAGATGGGCTACAGCAGGGGTTCTCAACCTTTTCCACTCCAAGGCCCACCTGTTTATAACTATAAAGCATGGTACTTTCCTATAAGGACTTTGTTTACATGGCACAATTGCGCTGTCCTACTGCGCATGCTTTACACTAGCTTGAAACTGCTGGAGTGAAACTGCAAGAGTAAATCCACAGCTCTGCAGTCAGACCCTTCTCATTCAATCACAGAAATCTAAATTTGCAGTCATGTTAAAAAAAATAACCCGTTAAAAAAATATCATGTGCAGAGATGTCAAAAAAGGGCAGGGGGAAAAAAAGGTAGTTGTAGGTGTGGACTGTGATTTGGAGCTGCAGTCCATCACGTTTTCACTGAAAATACTCTTGTGGCTCATTTGATCATAAAATGCGTTCCCACCAGCAGTGAACTGAACAGGGTTTGGTTGCAGACCTGAATATGGGTGGAGTGTTCACGCGTCACAACGGAGTGAACTAAAGTAAAAAGTTTGATAGGTCAGTGCTGAGCAAGGTAGGAGAAAATGCCCTGAGGAACCGCTCCATCTCTGGTTAACTGTCTGCACCGCGCACCAGCGGCTGCGCCGGGGGCCCACAGATTGAGAAACCCTGGACTACAGTACTGTACACTAGCAAGGTGGAACCACAAGAAGTTTCTAATAAAGTGAGTGTAGACTCCTTTCTCAGTTCTGAGGTTAAGGCCTGAAACATACTTCACGCAAGGAAGCAAACGCAGATGCTTCAAGCTACACAGACGCGGTTTCACACGTAGTTGCGTTGAAAAATGTGTCATAACGCATTTCATAGCGTGACGCAAGTGCAAGCTGCAATCTGAGCGTTACAGCAAGGGGCGCTATAACGACAGCCAAGCCTGAACAAGTGGTCTCGCACCACTGTCATTTGCATTCGCGTCCTTGCGTGAAGTGTGTTTCGGGCCTAAGACTGTCTGTAAAGCCATGCGACCTTGCAAGTTCTCATATTACCACGTGGAAAAGTTACTGGAGAAAATTTGATGCACTTTTTGGCGTTCTGTGTTACATTAATCAGTGAACAACCAAAAAATATATATATATAAAATCTATTAATTACACCTACAAAGCTTTTAACTCAAACCCACCATGCAGTAAAACAAAATCTGTCATACTTGCAATGTTTTCTCTCATCTCATACCACATCGCAAGCTAGATTTAAGTGGTAGTACAGAATACCTCTTTTTGTGGACAACTCTCTTGGCTTCTCATCTGGTATACGCAAAAAACAAACAAAAAAAAACACATCAAATTATATATAATAATAATCTTAGATCTGCCAACCCAATTAGTGTGCTTCGCCAAGCAGCTTCTTTCCTAAAAAGTGAGCAAAGCCAACTATTCAGACAACTTAATCCTCCTGTCTTTCATCTTTCCATGCATTCCTTTGATGCGAGGGGTGAGGAGTATGTACTCCATTCATCCATATGTAACACAGGTCCCATTGTTCAAAAGCAGCCATATTAACAATATTGTTTTCCCACATAAAAAGGTATCCTCTTTGGTCTTGAACAGTAAGCAAAGAATGAACTATAAAATGACAACAAAGCAGTTAGACTTGAATTTGTCCGTTAATTTAGTCTAAGCTATCTGCTACTTATCAAAGGAACACATGCATTCACCTCGGTTCTCACATCTAAATATTTTGCTTTGAGCCTGGGATTAAGGTACTTATGTGCTGAGCAATTATGCATAATCACTTAATACTATGGAACATTTAGAAACAGCTTTTAAAATTGCTTTAAAGCAGTAAAGGATTCAAGGAGACAAGACACTGATGACATCCCCCAGTGTTCTAGATATACTTTGGAGTATAATTTATAGTTTACAAAATCCACTATATAGGGCTGTTCTTTGTTATTTCTGCATTTTATACTCTGTAGAATATGGAAACAGTCTGTATGAACAATTGCTGTCTCAAAATTAATGGTCATTCTTAAAGAAAACAAAATTTTTGGTTGCAAGGCCCCTTATAGCAAATTATTTCCCGAATAAGGAGCTGAAATAGTAAATAAGCACAGTATGCTGTGCTAAATTAGCTGCCTATCATGCCAAAGCTCTGCCCATCATACTTCAGCTTCTTTCCAAGTGATGTACATTAAACTGAATATCCAATATGTTTGTATTTTTCCGACAGTATTATTTTATTGGCATGTAGGAACTCATTGTTGACAGTTACAGAAATCTGGGGTTCAGGATGATAAAGTGCTGCCGCATACTAAATACTACGACAGCTAAACTGAGGTCAGATTTCGTCTTTACGTGAACGATTTCAGTGCACGTTCCTTTATATGTCAAATATATTATCTGATACAATATTGGATATAATTGCCAAAATGCTGTTGTCAGCTCTCAAAGTAGCCAGTATGTGCTAGTAGGTTTCATTTCTCAGATAAAAGAGGGCCAGAATGGTAAACCAGAGCAAAGGCCGCTGTAAGCATGACGTGGCAACTTCTCTTATCAACATATTTATCCAGTGTAATCATCTTTACTAAAAGCTGGGTCAGGAACACATAGCAAAAATAGTACCGTTACAAGTAGACTGCTGAAAGAGCGAGTTACCTGAATCCACGATTATTGCTCGGTGTACAGTTTATGTTGTGTAGATGTGTGTTAATGGTGAAGGCAAATTATCTGGACCACAAGAACAGATGGGCTCGAGAACACATTAACATTACGGCAAGAAAATGACAATCATACTTAAACCCGATGTGCGATATAGTAAAACGTGTGATTTTTTTTTTTATATAAATTCCGCAGTGACACATAGTAGAGGTGGTATGCTAAATGAGGACAGTATATAATATGACTGTACACCAATCAGGCATAACATTATGACCACCTCCTTGTTTCTACACTCATTGTCCATTTTATCAGCTCCACTTACTACATAGGTGCACTTTGTAGTTCTACAGTTACAGACTGTAGTCCATCTGTTTCTCTGATACTTTGTTAGCCCCCTTTTACCCTGTTCTTCAGTGGTCAGGACCCCCATGGACACTCACAGAGCAGGTACTATTTGGGTGGTGGGTCATTCTCAGCACTGCAGTAACACTGACGTGGTGGTGGTGTGTTTGTGTGTTGTGCTGGTCTGGGTGGATCAGACACAGCAGTGCTGCTGGAGTTTTTAAACACCTCAGTGTCACTGCTGGACTGAGAATAGTCCACCAACCAAAAATATCCAGCCAACAGCGTCCTGTGGGCAGCGTCCTGTGACCACTGATCAAGGACTAGAGGATGACCAACACAAACTGTGCAGCAGCAGATGAGCTGTCGTCTCTGACTTTACATCTACAAGGTGGACTGACAAGGTAGGAGTGTCTAATAGAGTGGACAGTGAGTGGACACAGTGTTTAAAAACTCCAGCAGCACTGCTGTGTCTGATCCACTCGTACCAGCGCAACACACACTAACACACCACCACCACGTGAGTGTTACTGCAGTGCTGAGAATGACCCACCACCCAAACAGTACCTGCTCTGTTAGGGTCCATGGGGGTCCTGACCACTGAAGAACAGGTTAAAAGGGGGCTAACAAAGTATGCAGAGAAACAGATGGACTACAGTCTGTAATTGTAGAACTAAAGTGCACCTATATAGTAAGTGGAGCTGATAAAATGGACAGTGAGTGTAGAAACAAGGAGGTGGTCATAATATTATGGCTTATCGGTGTATAATATGACTGTATACTGAAATTTTTTACAAAAAGAATTGCATAAATGCATAAACGACACAGCCTTGATATTTACACAAGAAATTTACAGCTGAATGTTCCCAGTAACATCTTCTTAAGGGTTCTTAGGTCCTCTGAAGCAACTGCTGGCAAACTCCCCCAAGCATTTTTTCCCTGGTCAAGTGCTCAGAACGGAATCTCTGAGTCTAGGGAATTAGTTCTCCTCCGGTAAAGTGCGTTTGCCATTAATGCCGAAGGAAACGTGGCTACTGGTTTTGAAGGCCTAAAATCACGCACGTCTTTTGACCCTGAACCCCGTCAGTCTGTGATGTGCCAGCAACGTCCTCCGCTGCTGCCTCGGATTCTTCGTCCTCTAGCGTTTCAAACGGACTCATTACGTCATATAGGAAGGTGAAGAAGCCTTGAAACCAATCAGAGCCCTCTTCTGCTAAAATATCGAGGACTTCCTCGAGGGAGTCAGAGTTTTCTTTGCTGCCATCTTTGCTCAGCCCTACGCAAATGGGAAAACAAAGAAAGGAAAAAAGAGAGGGAGAGGGAGAGAAAGAGAAAAAACAGCGGTAGAGCAAGAAAATGGAGAAAGAAAGGAGTGGAAGTTGTATGCAAGGTTTAGTAGATAAGGAAACTAGTGCCATCTAAGAGAAGCTAAAGATAAGGCAGCTTAAAGCAAAGCTGAGTGTGAAAAGGAAGCAGAGGACAGGGACATGCATAGACACTACTGGGCTTCTAAAATTAGGTCGTTTTACAGGCCTCGACACCCTGCAGGGCTGACGTGACTGGGCAAAACTGAAGGGTAAAATCTGTCTCCATACCAAACTGAGATTCACATGGCAGCCGTTTTGCTTATTATGTCACACACTGGGTGGGAACGGGGCGATTAGTCAGCAGCTGTGGGAAAGTGGAGCACAAATTTGATGCAAAGCATTTTGAAAGCATTGAAAAGACACTTTGTCTTAGGTGCTGATAGACTACTCTATTCAAAACACTGTAGCTGTGACGGATCCCTATTTGTTTTAGGGCGCTACACTGTTAGAAATAAAGGTCTTGTTCAGGTACATTTTTCGTTCATCAAGATACAAACAGTGTAAATTTTCCCTCAAAAGGTACAAAAGTGGTTTTAAGGTCTGACTGTGAAGCTTAAATAAGTTTTTCAGGTGAAAAATACATATTTGTACCTTTTCATAACCGAATGTTTTAAAACAGAACAGTAAAATAAAAATTCTGGAGATGAGACGGGGTGTGTGGAGTGTATGTTTTGTCTGAATTACAAAATTCCAGAGTGATTTTGAGTGCATCACAGGGCTAAACGATTTGGGAAAAATGCTGTGATTTTTCTGACCAATATTGCAATTTAAATGCAGTAATTTTCTATAAATTATAATTATAAATATATAGTTATAATATAAAAGAAGACCAGAATGTCCACTTTCTCTGGCATGAAGCTTGCAGGCTGAGTGCTTCGGACTAAGAGTTATTTGTGATGGCTGTGATGTCACATATACAGAACATGGGTGTTTTGTTGTTTCTGATCGGTCTCGTAGACAGGCAGCTTACAAGCTGTGTTATTAGTTTAATTTTTTTCCATTTAAAAGGTAAGAAAACATTGTTGATAATGAATTATATAATAAAAATTGCACTCTTTCCAATTGCGATTTCAATATAAAATGATTGATCTTTCTGCTTTAGTGCACTACAGTCTCCCACAGGGCACTTGTAATTTGCATGTATCTACATTTTTTCAGTTTTTGACATAATTTGAAAATGCCTGTTTCTCTTAACATTGTGTGTAAATTTCATTATGAATGGACTAAAAGAAACGACCCAAAATGAAAAGTCTGGTTCCATTGACTTACATTAAAAGTAAAGTAGGTTTTTTCCTTCTCCTGTAAAGTTACCATTTTGGAGATACAAGGTTTTCTTTCCGACAACACCGAATATGTAGTGGACACTAAATCACTACACAAGCTGAACGTGTACCAACATACTACACATACAACACTTTAAGCATTTTTCCAATTGTGTACGGCTACAAATAAGAAGCCATTTTCAGCTTCTTGTGCAGCTAATGGTGTTTTGTTTATGCAACTGACGCATGCTGCCGAGAGTCTGAATTCATTTACTGATTATTACACTTTTACTGCTGTTTAGTAAGCAATATAGTTTGCCCCTGTATCACCAATAAGGGAGCAGGACAGTGACAGTGTGTATGATGTAATGAGCAAAACGGCAGCCGCGTGAATAAAGGGAGCAGCTTGTATCACTGAATATTCATAAAAAAAATCATAACAATCTGTAGTGTCCTATAAAGGAGTAAAGAAAATGATCTAAAAACATTCTCTCCTACAACAATGAAACGGTTTTTATGCTAACCCTCTCTCTTTCCACATTGATCCCTGTGCATCCAGTTTGAAACACATTCTGTAAAGGCATGCTGAAAATACTCTTTTTCACTCATCACATAGTTTCCTTAGGTTTGTGGTTTGAGGCTTGTGGCTTTAAACACTGTAACGATTACACACACTGAAAACCCTGCAGTCCCATGCACATGCATTCCTCCGTTTTCCCTCGCCATTGTTTCGAGGAACAAAAGTGAACCAAAGTCAGTCATGCAATAAAAACCCAAATCTGACAATTAGAGAAAAGTTAGTGCACTTGCCTAGGAGTACTTTGGCATCCTCCACGTCAAAGTCACCGTCGCCGTCAGCGTCGTAGGAAACAAGTTTACCTGGAAAACGAACCGCAGTAATTTAATTCTGTAATTCAGACAGTAACTTTACTGAGCAGTTTGAGTCTAGAAAGCAAGTATGAAAAGATGAGGATGAATGATTTTAGTTGTTAAAACACAACATATTTACTGACGTGTTAAAAAAATGAAAAAATGGAGTCGCATACTTGTGGATTATACTTAATGGTAAGTATTTTGTTTCTCATTATTATTAACTCATTATTTTCATGGCACTTCTTTTTGCTGATGACGAGTATTTTCTTTGCATTGGTCTTATTCAGTTCAGCTGAACAATGATGGCACCAAAAGTTTGCCTTGTGTATCATGTATCATGTATATAAGGTCACAGTTATGCTGATTACTGGACAATAATGTTCATGAATAATACTGAATAGTCTTGCTAATCATTAGGGTAGTCACTGTAGCTAAAATCAAACATATTAATAAATATTTCTTTACAAACTGCATAAATGCATAAATCATTTGAGTTCAGTACATAAATAAATGATTATAATGTCACTGAGACATAAATAATGCAGCTATTACACAGTAATATCCTAGGGAAATTAAACTAGAAAAGTCTTTGGTTCATTTTTCAATCTGCATTATTCAATGAGTAGAATTTTAGTACTGCATCATTTAGGAAATGAAGTTGTATATAAGATAATTACACATTATTACATTAATAAAGGGGATAAGGTTTAGGGTGACCTTGTGTACTGACACACAATGAGTCATTTCATAAATGAAATGAAGTTAATGACAGTGAGCTCAATCATCAGGTATGATCTCGTACCTTGTAACACCTCTGAAAGATTATAACGCAAGTCCTTTGCCTTGGCTGCATGCAAAATTAAGAGCAGACAAGGAAGAAAATACAGATGAAAGTATTTATATAGAAGTAAACTTCCATCTAACAGCAGCTCAGCTGGATGAAATCACACCGCAGCAGATATTTATCCACACATTAGTCCTGAACCTACGCTGCGACACTGTCAAACGTGCTCACCAATGACGCCTTGATAGTCAACCAGGTCAAAGTAGACCACGGCTACAGAGGTCCACACTCCCAGAAGAGCCAGCACCATGAACCAGGTGAAGAAGGAGGTTCCTCCTGCTCCGTCTGACTTCTTCCCATTCTTATTCGCCTGCTGTTTCGCCTCTGAACAGAAAAGAAATACACCATGAAAATCAAAAGCAATCAAGCAGTATTATACGCTCCTTAAAAATACAGTTCTTTGAGGGTTCTTTAGTAAAGTAAGTGGTTCTATATGGAACCATGAACTCTCTAAGAACCCTTTGCGTGATGAATGAGTTCTTCAGATTGATGGAAAATGTGCTGTACAGGGTTCTATAGCATCAAAAAAAGTTCTTCTAGCATTACGATGTCAAGCTTGTTACAATAGAAGAACCTTATTAGGTGCTGTATAGAACCCTTTACAAAAAGCTTCTATGTGGAACCATCTACAGCACATTCCCCATCAATCTGAAGACCCTTTAATCATGCAAAGAACCGTTTAATCATGCAAATGCTCTTTGAGTGTTCATGGTTCTACATAGAACCATTTCCTTACTAAAGAACCCTTGAGGAACCATCCTTTTTATGAGTGTAAGAGTTAGACTCAGCAAAAAGGCATATTAGAGCAATATGAGGAGCAAAGACATGCAGTGGACTAGATAGAGTAGCTCAGCCTTTAGGGTTCACAGTTATCAATAGTAATGCAGCATCTTGTAATTTGATATTATTTCTCCTCGAAACTGACAAACAGGTTCAGTTCCATCAAAAAACTACAGAATCTAAACTTCAGATAAACTTCCACACCACATTTCTGTCAGGAAAGTGATGCTGGTTAGAATATGAAGCTGTTGCAGTGCCTCGTCTTCTTTGGAAAAAGAAGCCGTGCTTCACATTTTTCTCACATTTGTCACTTCATGACATTGAAACAAACAAATTACGAAGCCCACACTCGAATGTGTCCATATACAGAGAGTAAATGTAATTCACTGCACACCTGTAATTTAAATTACATAATTAGATGTAACAGTATAGCAAAAACAACAGCAGTAACTCAACAGGTGAGAGTTGAAATCACAACCTTTGTAGGGCCATATCACAGAAAACTGAATTTTCTGTGTTTTTTACTAGAAGTAAGAGTTTGGTGTGGTACACACTTTAAAAAGAGATGGTTCTTCAAGGGTTCTTTAGTAAAGAAAATGGTTCTATGAACCCAGGAACTCTAAGAACCCTTTGTGTGATTAAGAGTTCTTTAGATTGATGGAAAATGTGCGGTACAGGGTTCTATAGCATCAAAAAGGGTGCTTCTATCATTACGATGTCAAACTTGTTACAGTAGAAGAACTGTATTTGGTGCTGTATAGAACCCTTTACAAAAAGATTCTATGTAGAACCATCTACAGCACATTCCCCATCAATCTGAAGAAACATTTCAGCATGCAGAGAACCTTTTAATCTTGCAAATGTTCTTTGAGTGTTCATGGTTCTACATAGAACCATTTTCCTTACTAAAGAACCTTTGAAGAACCATACTTTTTATGAGTGTAAGAGTTAGACTCAGCAAAAAGGCACATTAGAGCAAAGTGAGGAGCAAAGACATGCAGTGGACTAGATAGAGTAGCTCAGCCTTTAGGGTTCAGTTATCAATAGTAATGCAGCATCTTGTAATTTGATATTATTTCTCCTTCGAAACTGACAAACAGGTTCAGTTCCATTAAAAAACTGCAGGATCTAAACTTCAGATGAACTTCCACACCACATTTCTGTCAGGAAGGTGATGCTGGTTTGAATATGAAGCTGTTGCAGTGCCTCGTCTTCTTTGGAAAAAGAAGACGTGCTTCACATTTTTCTCACATTTGTCACTTCATGACACTGAAACAAACAAATTACGAAGCCCACACTCGAATGTGTCCATATACAGAGAGTAAATGTAATTCACTGCACACCTGTAATATAAATTACATAATTAGATGTAACAGTATAGCAAAAACAACAGAAGTAACTCAACAGCTAAGAGTTGAAATCACAACCTTTGTGGGGTAAAAACACAGAAAACTGAATTTTCTGTGTTTTCACTAGAAGTAAGAGTTCAATGTGGTGCACGCTTTAAAAAAAGATGGTTCTTTAAGGGTTCTTGCATAAAGAAAATGATTCTGTATAAAACCATGAACACTCAAAACATGGATCTACATCAAACCTGTTTGAAAATGGTTCTATACAACACCAAAAAGAGTTCTTCTATTGTTACAGGCTTGGCATCATATCAATAGAACAACCCTTTCTTAAAAAGGTTCTGTATAGAACCATCTACAGCAGTCTCCATCAATCTGAAGAACCATTTCACCATGCAAAGCACACTTCAGTCATGCAAAGGGTTATTTGAGTGTTCATTGTTCTATATATAGAACCACCTTTACTAAAGAGCCTTTTAAGAACCATCTTTTTTTAAGAGTGTATACGTTTAAAAACAAACCATCGTCTGCTCTGTTCATTCGGTATGTATATTGAAGCCTGAACTGCTTTCTGAAAGAAGTCCAGTACAGGGCAGCCGGTCAGAACTGAGCTCATTTACATATTTATAACAGTCTTAATGCATAGTAACAAAACAGCCTGTTTAATTCTGAGGGATAAAAAGAGGACGGAAAGTGATCACGTAAAAGTAGTAGGACTGGTTTTGGCGTATAAAATTACACAAACATTGTTTGTGGGCTGCAGGGAAGAAAAGAAGAAGAATGGAAGATATTCGCCCTGAAATGAAGAGAAAAGACATGGTTTTTGAATTTTCACCTGAGGCAACAGCAGGTCTGGTTCTGAATGTTACACCCGCAGAGACGACAATCTGGACAGCACAGATTTTCACCACCAGAGAACATTCCAGATATACGTTATTCAGGGACTTCAGTGCTTTTTCAACACTTTCCCTACACTTTTAAAAAAGATAGTTCTTCAAGGGTTCTTTAGTAAAGATAGTGGTTCTGTATAGAACCATGAACTCTCTAAAAACCACTTGCATGCTTGTAGTTCTTTGCTTGGTGGAATTGTTCAGGTTGATGTAGAATGTTTGTGTATGGTTCTATACAGAACCTATTTGAAAGGGTTGAAATTTCTCTATTGTTACAGTGTCAAGCTACACTCTTAAAAAATGTTGGTTCTATATAGAACTATGGATACTCAAAGAACCCTTTGCATAATTAAACGGTTCTTTACATCATTGAATTATTCTTTTTTAAATTGATGGAAAACGTGCTGTAGATGGTTTTATATAGAAAGGGGGTTCTGTATAGCACCAGAAAGGGTTCTACTGTCAATCTTGTAACAATAGAAGAAAATTTTTCGGTGCTATATAGAACCCTCTTTCTATATAGAAAGATCTACAGCATGTTTTCCATCAATCTGAAAAAAAAAATGCTTTCACAATGCAAAAAACCCTTTAATAATGCAAAGGGTTCTCTAAGTGTTCATAGTACTATATGGAACCATTTTCTTTACTAAAGAACCACTTTAAGTGTGTAGTAAACCTTTTTTCAAAAGGGTTCTAAATGCAACACATTATCCATCAGTCTGAAGAACAGTTTCACCATTTAATCATTCAAGTAGTTTTTTTGAGTGTTCATGGTTCTATGTAGAACCATTGTCTTTACTAACGAGCCCTCGAAGAACCTTCTTTTTAAGAGTGTAGTATGTGATTTCTCGATTTGAATTAGACAAAAAACTGAAATGTCTAAACTCGCTGCTATTTTACGTGTAACGATAGTAAGTGGACGGCTCAAACATTTAACAGGTTATTCTGGGTGCCGCTGACTCTCTTCCTAGAGCCATGGTATAAATACATTTGCATTGAGGAGGAGGAGGTCTGGAAAGAGAAAGAACAGGTGTCACGTCCGCTGTGTTCTCCACTAGGTCAAATCTGGCACACAAATGTCAGTTCACCAGCTGTGGGGACGTATTCGCAACACCGAAAAGAAGAGACGCTGTTTTTATATCCGTTTTTCCTGTTCATCTGAAGTTTCTTTTGAAAATGAAGTTTTATAATGGAGCTCCCAACAATTCTGCTTCTTTATCAAGTGGACTAAACTATGAACTTGACCGACAAATTAGCCCTAATTAGGAAAAAACCCTGAATGATTCATAATAATCACACAAAAGGCAGTTAACATCATCCCTCGTCTTAAAGGTTATTCCTAACAGCAGAGCTTCTCTACCTGCTTCTTCTTCCACCGCCTTCACCTCGACCTTCGGCTCCCCCATCCCTCCAGACCGCAGGGAAATAAGAGTGCGTCCCAGCCGTTCCCGTCCCAAGCCCTCGCACAGCCGCAGCTGCCCTGCGTTTTTGTTCCCAGTGTATTCAGCCGGAACTCAATATGGAACCTGGCCGGCCCTTGTGGAGTATTTTTAGAACTGTCGGCGCTCGACAAGCCAGTAAAATCTCAAGCACTCGTAGGAAAGGGTAGGGGCGAGCTCCATTCCAATCCGCTGTTCTTACTACCCAATAATAAGAGCCGGGAGAGACCGTAAAAATAACCTCAGTTAACAATAGAGCGCAGAGGACGCAGCGAGAGCCAACTGCTGATCTCTTCTGATCACTGCAGCTTTATATGCAGATACAAAACTTCTGGACAAGAGTTTAAGGGATGACTCCAGTCCTGAGGGACACACGCTCTGGGAAACTTTCTCTTAAAGGACCCAGCAACCTACATTTTTTTTGAGGTCCACTTATAACAGTTGAGTAGTTTTATGTACCAAAAATGGTCATGAATCATTTTTACATGACTGTTTTCCAGCCTCTCTTTAACCCGTACAACTAAACAGGCTGTTTTTGTTACTGTGCCTTTAAGGCTGATGTGCGATAAATGAGCTCTGTTCTGATTGGCTGGCCTGTATCATGCCTGAAACCAGAGAACTTGTAGAGAGGAGAATTTCCACTCTGTAATGTCTTCTGGGTTTCTCAAACCCAAGAGGGCGCTCCCAAGCGAGTCCAAAATGAACGGGTTAATATGGAGAATTAGAGCAAAATCATAGTTTATAAATGCTTAAACATTTTTAATGTGAAAGAATTCATTAATTTCCTGAACACAGAGCAGCATAAAACATTTTAACACTGCTGTTATATTTTTAAGAACTTTTAAACTCGAGTTTAAAACAGCGCCTCATGTACGTCTATGATGTCTGTGAGTGCAAACAGCCAGTGAGCTGCTCCGCTCGCCAACCAGTAGCAGTAATGTTAACCAATCAGCACTCAGTAGCAGTAATGTTAGCATCCTGCTGCCCAAAACCCGTTTACTGTAGAAAAAAGGAAACATACAGGCGAGATTTCTTTGCTTTTTTAGTGAAATCCATCCTTCTACTCTCTAAAATTAGAGGAAAGTTCTGGTTCAGTGATTAGAAACTATTTAAACTTTTCGATTTTAGCCATTGAGCTCCATTCACTCCCATTTATTGAGGACTTGCTCGTGGGTGCCCTCTGCTGTTTAGCAGTCCTGTTTTTGGTATAAATAAGAAGTGGCCAGGCCCCTTATAAACCGGCTCTGGCATAAACTACAGTATTAATGGCTGTGGCTAAAGGGCTGAAGGCTGAATAGGTGGATGAATGTAAACGTGTCTGGTTTTCATGACATTACAGAAACAATGAATTCAAAACGGGCTGTTTTTGTAGATTAGTTTCAGTATGTGGACTGTATGGATGGGGACGAATGGTACTTTTTGAAACTTTAATGTTCACATATTACTTCAAACTCCTTTATTAAAAAATGAGGGGATTTCATGCAGTCTAGGCCCTTTACAATTACAGTTTACCCCACCCCCAAACCCCTTTATCCCAAATGCAGTCAGCTAATATGTTTGGCTATATAGTTCTATATAGAACCATTTTCTTTACTAAAAGAACCCTTGAAGACTCTGCCCATCTTTAAGAGTATACAGCTATGAGGCTAATGTAACACAGGGCTGTGCCGTCCAAAAAAAAAGATTTCCGTTACCTTTTTAACTCCCCCTTGTTTTATTTAACTGCCTTCAAAACGGCTGTTCAGTTCAGGAGATTTCTTAGGACGTTAGATATACACACACTTAAAAAAGACGGTTCTTCAAGGGTTCTTTAGTAAAGAAAATGGTTCTATGTAGAACATGAACACTCAAATAACCCTGTGCGTGATTAAAGGGTTCTTCTTTTTTAAAAAGGGTTCTATATAGCACCAAAAAGGGTTCTTCTATTGTAACAAGCTTGACATCGTAACAATAGAACATTTTTTTTGGTGCTGTATAGAACCAATTTAAAAATTGTTGTATGTAGAACCATCTACAGCACATTCTCCATCAATCTGAAGAAGGCTTTCATGATGCAAAGAACCCAGAGGGTTCATGGTTCTCCATAGAACCATCTTTTTTTTTAAGAGTGTGAGATAAAAGAAGAGTCCAGACCTCAACACCACTGAATGTGTTTGATTACTTCAGAAAATGATCAACCAGCTTCTAAGACTGAACTTTGGAGGTGTGTCTGCAGATTCTTTGAGGAACTGAAAGTGAGTCTCCTGAAAAGAATGGAAGCTGGAATAAAGGGAAAGAGTGGATGCACTGAATACTGACAGTGTTGCTAGTTGAGTTCAGTTTTTGAGGCTTCTGTGTAATTTTCTGTAAAATATGTTTCCCACCCCCCCTCCCCCAATGCTGAAAAATGAATAATTTGTACTTAATGGCCATTTTAACTGTAAATTAAATAAATAAAGGCTCTGACTTTTGCACTATACTGTATCCCAGAGCAAAACAAAAAAAATAACTTCAGACACCAAACACGTCTTGGTTGATAAACTACATTTGGGGGACGGGAGATAAAACTAATTTTACACTTAACTACCCTTAAGTTATGTTCACATTACCAGGCTGAAGTGGCACATATCTGATTTTTTGCCCTAATGTGACTCAGATCTGATGTTTTCAGGGCTGTGTGGACACAAATCTGATCTTTTCAAATCCAACCTGAGCCTCTTTCATGTGGTCCTAGATCAGATTTGTGTCCAATGCATGGCCATGCGACCTTATTGTGACGCTCAGATCGGAATTCATGAGCTTTTTTTCCACTGCACGTGACCATCATTCAGCGTTGCCATGGCAGCAGCGCCGAACAGAGGTTAAAGCCTGTAAACGGTGGAAAAGCAGCTCATCTCACCTTTTTCTCCTTCGTCTCGCTCTAATAATGAAGCTGAGAGCTGATCAGAGTTAATGATCTTCTCAGCGAAGCTCGTTCTGCTCGTTAGTTTGTGCTGATGATGAACGTGATTCATTCACGTGACGTTACTGAGTAGGATGTGTTCATATGGGTCATTTCAGGATGCCGGTTCACATTAATCACAGATCTGAATCACTTACCTAAACGAGTGTGAACCATCATGTCGGAGAGATCGGATTTGAGGAAAAAATCAGATTTGAGAAACGAGGCTTGTAATGTGAACGTAGCTTCAACTACCAACCCATTTGTCGTCTGTACCGGCACAGATCTGCACTGGAGTTTCTGGCGTGACACTTAAGCCAGTTATCACGGACGCCTCAGGGAAACTTAAATACTTGATCAAAACAGTTCACTCCTTGGGCATGAGCAGGCAGGTCCTGTAAAACAGCACTGGGTGCAGGATGGGGAGCAAGCTAATGTAGCCCGAATGCATTCACATATTTACAAAACAAGGGAAAAATTACTGAGACCCTCCACTTTTAGGGGGCAGAGACCACCAACAAATATCCAAAACACAACAAAAGATCCTAATCTATAGTGACTACCTTTAGTGTAGGAACCACAGACCCCTTCTACACCATTCAGGTCTGTTTAGTTTTGTTTGTATAGAGTACAAACCCTTGACATACAGTGATACAGCACTGCAGGCCTGCTTATACACAGTGTCCTATCAGTTTACTCTGAAGGCCACCACTCTTTACAGGCTCTCCAAAGACCCGACTGAGACTGAGTAACAGTTTGGGTGCACATGCATTCATTTCCTCCCCCAGTCAAGGATTTTTATTCATTTAAGTTTATAATAGATTACTATAGATTGAAGAATTAAAGAGACTATAGGATTGCGTTGCGATGTGCTATTTAACTGTTTAAAGGCCGAAACTTTCTGACCTTTCTGTGAAACTTTCCCCATTCGCCATATGTTCAAACACTGATCTCCTGCGGAGCAGACACGCCTCCGAAGTTACACAGACTCAACTTGACTGCCAATCCACAGTCAAATGGCCTCTATTGTTTTACCTAGCACCCCTCCCCCTCCTGAATTTCACATATAGCACCTACGGAGCCATGCAGCTTTGAAAACGGCTGCGTCCCATATGCATATGCGACGTGCAAGTGAGGAAACTGCTATAGCTGTGTCACTTTTGTCTGCTTGTCGTTCAGTGTTTTTGTTTATATGAATATCTGCCTTGACCCATGAAATTGGTCACACATAAACGCACCCAACGCACTCACATTCCTCTTTAATTATACTCAGCTAGCAGAAAATGACCCCGAACATAATTAACTCGTAATGGCTAATTTAGTCCATGGTGACTGAAACCTCTCCCTTACACATTTTAAGTAATAAGTCCCAACAAAATATATATGTATAAAAAAATAAATAAATAAACAAAAAACATCAGCGCTTTAGTAAATTCAAACATGCACGTTTTCTTCCTCAACCCAGATTAGATGCTAAAAACAGTAAATAGTTTATAAAGTTTATATGTATAAAAAGAATTTATTCTTTTTTTTAATTATATCAAACTTAATGCAGACATGTGTGTGTTAAATGTTAATGGTGTACAAACACCACCATTATTAATGGAAAGACAAAAAAAAGCTGTTTAAAAATGTAAATCTTTTTTTCCACCAGCACACACGACAAATCAACATAAAGCATTCCACGAAACATCAACATGCAGCATTACTTTATGAAAACCTCTTTTAATACTCTATGGATGCTCAGGCAGAGGAGAAACACACAGCAAACGCTTTTCTTTTACCACCACTTTGGCCTTCAGCGAGTTAATCTCTGAGGCTGAAAGGAAACCGCCTGAAAAGAGTAATTACAGTTTGAAAACTGAGCAGAGGAAAGCATAGCTGGGTTATTACACAGAATAAAACGAGGCACGTTTGTATCAGAGGTGGGCGATTTGGCAAAATGTCACTTCAGGAAACTTAAGCAAGTTTTTATGATGCACAACAGGACAAGATATTTATTTTTTCTAACGTCTTCCAAGTTATATTAAATAAGACTGTTCTTCAGGGGTTCTTTAGTAAAGACAAAGACGGTTTGCATCCTTAAATAGTTCTCTGCCTGGTAGAAGAGTTCTTCAGATTGATGGAGAATGTGTTATACAGTTCTATATATAAC